ACGAATGGCAATGGCTATACCAATGGTAATGGGAATGGAGTTACTAATGGAAACGGAAATGGCTACAGCAACGGCAACGGAAATGGAGTTACCAATGGTAATGGTAATGGTAACGGAAATGGATACACCAACGGTAACGGAAATGGATATACCAACGGCAACGGAAATGGAGTTACCAATGGTAATGGTAATGGTAACGGAAATGGATACACCAACGGTAACGGAAATGGATATAACAACGGCAACGGAAATGGAGTTACCAATGGCAATGGTAATGGTAACGGAAATGGATACACCAACGGCAATGGGAATGGAGTTATTAATGGTAACGGAAATGGCTACAACAACGGCAACGGAAATGGATACACCAACGGCAACGGAAATGGATATACCAACGGCAACGGAAATGGAGTTACCAATGGCAATGGTAATGGTAACGGAAATGGATACACCAACGGCAATGGGAATGGAGTTATTAATGGTAACGGAAATGGCTACACCAACGGCAACGGGAATGGAGTTATCAATAGCAATGGTAATGGTAACGGAAATGGATACACCAATGGCAACGGTAATGGAAATGGATACACCAACGGTAATGGTTATACCATTGGTAATGGGAATGGTGTTATCAACGGCAACGGGAATGGTTATAGTAACGGCAATGGAAACGGAAATGGCTACACCAATGGTAATGGAAATGGAATTGTCAATGGTAATGGAAATGGATATACGAATGGAAATGGTAATGGGTACAGCAATGGCAATGGTAATGGTGCTACCAATGGAAACGGCAATGGTAATGGCAATGGATATTATTATGGTGCCCCTAATGGTAACGGTGGTACAACAAATGGTAATGGCATTAATGGACTCTATCAGACACCGAGCTTCTAAACGACGACCCCTATTTCCTTTCTCTCGCTCTCTATTTTTTTTTTTTTTTTTTTTTACGAATGCGTTTAGAGTGAAGACTTATGTAATGCATTTCAGTGGTGATGAATGTAGTCATTTGCAGAATCTTAGGCCATAAAAAGTGAAACATTTTTTTTTTTTGTATTTAAACAAATGTAAATTCAATCTGTTGAAATCAACTGGGTAGTGTTTGTTCCACACCATTCTAATTTTTGTATGAGAATGTTTCACTTTAAGTGGTTTATCAAATTTGTACACGTGTGCCATAATGTTTGATATGTAATAGCTTGTATGTTTATCGTATAATACAAAATATGTATATTTTGAAAATAAATTTTATTAATTTGCAATAAGTTGTTTGGTGTTAGATCACATTTAGTAGACAGAAATGGAGTCTCATATTATTTTCAACACTTCAAGTGTAACAAGTATATACATTCAGACAGACACACAGACACAGATACACCTACATATCTATATCTATATATACATATATATCATATATGATATATGCACATATATATTCATACATAAATAATACATATATTTATATATATAAACCTACATATACACACAGTGGAAATTTGGATAAAGATTTCCTTAGATTTGGATTTAGAATTTTTCAAATCAAATTTCCTGCCGAATTAAACCATGTCATATGTGCTGGATTGTTCTTTGAATTAAATATTTGATAGTGTGTGGGGTGACACGAGGAGCAATGTAGTGGGTACTCAAACTATAGATTACGTATGTGAGTCTGGCTCATTTAGAGTGATGATCCCGTAATCACAATAAAAAAATCACCAGTTGAATAGAAAGGTAACATAAAAACAGCATTCATATAAATTTTAAACATAATAGCGATATACATAAAATCAGAGCACGCACCTATTTGCGAAAACAGAGGTAACCCACCATATCACAAACACTAGTCAGCCAGATAACTATCCAAAAGCCATAGTCCACGCAAGCTTAAAGCTTCTCTTTGTCTCTGTGTGATTAATTTTATAAGTAGGTTCTTCCCGTGTTTATAGTGAATATTCATTTCAGTAGCTAACATCTGAGGAAAGTTGTGAGACGAGTGGATTTAGCATGCTATACATATGGTACATATGAGTACAGGGTAGATTCCTCGTCTTCACAACTCCCGTTGGCTGGCACACAACCACTAATGGCTGATCCACCAATCAGTGAGGCACCACCTTCCATCGAAGAGGTGAGAAGGGCGGTCTGTAGGCTGGAGAGTGGAAAGGCTGCTGGTGTCTGTGGGATTGGTGCGGAGTTGTTGAAGGTGCGTGAAGAAGCCATGATCTGTAGTTTGCATGCAGTCCTGTCTACCGTTTAGGAGACTGGTACCATTCCTCCTGACTGGAAAAGGGGCTTGGCTTAACAAGGTCCTAACTCATCTGCTTTTGGCACGAATGCGCGACCACCTATTACGAGCACAGAGACCTGAGCAGTCTGGTTTTACACCCAACAAGTCAAGTATAGACCATGTCTTAACACTTCGTGTCCTTGTGGAAGGCCGATTTGAGTTTCAACAAGGTATGCTTGCAGCTTATGTTGATCTCAAGAAGGCTTTCGACTCAGTACAGCAGGAGAGTTTCCGGAGAACACTGGGTCTCCGTGGGATCCCCCCTGGGATTATTGGTTTGCTGTCTGGCCTATATACAGATACCGAGTGCTGTGAAGTGCGTGAGGCATCTCTACCTTTTTCCCGGTGTCTGCCGGGGTGAGACAAGGATGTGTCCTGGCCCAAACTCTTTTCAATACTTGTATGGACTGGATACTTGGCCGTGCCGTGAACCGTAGTTCTTGTGGGGCATCAATTAATAATTTGATGATGCAGTGATGCCGATGATGCAGTGATTGTAGCAGAGACATTGGAGGTCCTGGAAGTAGCTCTTGAAGCGCTGCATGAGGAGGCGAAGCCGTTAGGACTCGGTCAAGTGGACCAAGACCAAGGTTCAGGAATTATGGGGACTTACTGGATGTCGATGTTCAATCTGTGTATGCCTGTGGCGAGAACATTGAGGTCTTGGATAGCTTCACTTATCTTGGAAGTGTAGTGCAGAGCGACGGAGGTTCCGACCGGGAAGTCACTCGACGACTCGGACTGGCCTGCAGCGTTATGGACTCACTCAATAGGAGTATTTGGCGCTGTCAGTATTTGACTAGAACTAAAATCAGGCTCTTCAAAGCACTGGTGATCCCGGTCTTACTCTATGGGTGTGAGACATAGACACTGAACAGTGCTCTGAAGGCCAGTCTTGACTCCTTTGGTACTAAGTGTCTTCGCAGTGTGTCCAATCAGAGGATACTCCATGAGACTGATTCAAGGCCTATCACCAGTCTGATACGAGAGCGCCAACTTCAGCTCGATGGGCATGTGGCTCGTTTTCCTGAGGAAGATCCGGCTCATAGGGTCATAGGAACTCTTGGTTGAAGCATGTCGACCAGAACTGCCAAGATGTGCTGGGGGTGGGAAGGAATGCTGCATGAAGGCTTGCTCGGAGGTACCCCAGGAGGTGGAGACAGAGGTTGGGCGTGGCAAAGCGCAGCCATGCGTATGTCCCCTTCTGATGATATGGTATTCATCATAATGTGAGCAGATCTAAACGTAAATTCTACATAATTTGAAATACATCAGAGTGGCATCAATCTCATTAGTGATACAGTTGCAATACGTTTTTTTTTTTTTTTTTTTTTTTTTTTTTTTTAACACCACACGAAAATGAATATAATCACACATAATTATCTTTTTTTTCATAAATTATGATCATTGATGTCCATTTTGCGTAAAATAACTAGTAATTTTGAAGAAAGAGAAATGAACAGACATTTTACCTTCGTTATTAGTATAGAAATTCCATAAACATACATACATAAACACACATATTTGCGTGTAGACTCACAGATAGACTAGGTAAAAGTGCCAGAAATAACATGAGCTTTTCAGGACATAAACAATTGCACAACGAATTAAATAACTGCAGTGTATAATTTCATTAAAATATATAGTTTTCAGTAGACATATATATTTACATTACAGACTAATTCGTGTTTTAATTGCATTTGACCATCAATATTTTTCGTAGAGCATGATCAATCATGTCCATTTCCTTTACAAATGGACATGTAACACATACATACATATACATACAAATATATATGTAAATTGATAGATAGACTAGGTGAAAGTACCAGGCATTGCCCACAATTAGTAAAAGAACAACTGGCAATATATCATTTGGTCAAGAAATACATTTGTGGAACTAGATCGTTGTACTCAAAGCAGACAGGTTTTGCTCCACACACTCTGCTACACACGTACTTGTCGTCTTCTTTGCTGAGTTACTCTTCACATCAACATTCAACCATAGGCAAATATAAAACCTCAGGAAACTTAGTTGGCAGTCGGCCGTGAGCTTTACTTATGAGATATATGTATACATATTGATATATGTATACAGGTACATACAGTACATTTAAGCACACACATATGTATATGTGTGTGAGTATGTGTGAATCTACATATATACATATATAGAGAGAGATGTGTTTGCATATATACCGTATATATATTTACACAAATATCTTTATATATGCACACATATGAATGTGTATATACACCCATATATACACATATTAACATTTATATATATATTCAAATATCTATAATTATATCCATATATGTATATATACAATATGCATGCATACTTACATACATATATATGTATATATATGTACGCACAACCAATCAAAAATTATATGCATGTATGCACACAAAAAATCTTTCGCATATAAGGTTATCCACATACACATATATGTATATGTGTGTGCTTGTGGCTGTTTTTATGCATATTCGCATGTATTGAATAAAATGGCTTGTACACAAATTACAGGAATTGCTTGATCAGTCAATACGTAATTACCTTGACCTGAGCGTGTAGAAGAAAGCGAAGAGCAGCTATATAAAGCGGGGCTCCAAGCACAGTCGTCAGTGCACTTCCACATCTCGCTTTTTCTCCTCGCCGCATCTATACCTCTCTCTATCGATATAGATTCTTATGGAAGAATCTAAAATGAGTTCAATTAAATCTACTTGCATATTGCTAAGTAAGGAGAACGCTGTCTTTTATACATGCATATATGTGTGTGTATGTGTGCGTGTGTGTGAGTATATGTATGAGTGTGTGTTGTATTGTATGCTTGCGTCTGTTGACGATACTAATAGATACCTGTGTAGAAATTATGCAGTATTTTTATATATAAATGTATTATCACATATATTTCAGCTATAACTGTGTTCATATATATATATATTTTTGTTTACGTGGAATAGTGTGTGTCCATACAAGTATCTAATCTTATCTTGTATCTTGCAGCTCTCGTTGGAATATGTTTAGCAGAAGCAAATTACTTGCCACCTTTCAATGGAAATGGTAACGGCAATGGGAATACAAATGGAAATGGAGTATATAGAAATGGTAATGGTAATGGCGTCAATGGAAATGGGGCATATGTTAATGGAAATGGTGTCAATGGAGTATTCAGAAATGGAAATGGCAATGGCGGATATACCAATGGTAACGGTGTGAATGGAAATGGAAATGGAAATGGTGTAAATGGTAATGGGGTTTACGTTAATGGAAATGGTGTAAATGGTAATGGGGTGTATGGTAATGGTGTTAACGGAGGATATCACAACGGAAATGGAGTGACCGTGTACGCCAATGGCATCGTGGATCCCTTCAGAGCTCTGGCTGATGCCATTGGCGGTGGAGGCGTCCCAGGTGTGGACTACCCCATCCTGGCCTTCGTCCCCGACACCGGGTTCTCGTGCAACGGCCAACTTCCTGGATATTACGCTGATACTTCTCCCGAGGCTGGCTGCCAGGTGAGTGGCAAGTCTTCTCTTTAAAGTAAAAGAGAGATAAGATGGGGAAAAACAGGACTCATTCTAGTACGATTTTCTAGTTTAGGAATCACTATTGGCAACTCTAGTTAAGTAAGACCTAATATATTTCACAATTTTCCAGTAGTATTTTAGTAATGTAGAGATATATGGAAAGAAATTAGACCCTCTTTCATGCTCAATAACCATTTAAACACAAACACCCATATATATACATATATATATGTTACCCACTGTAGTTCGAATTATTGAACACATTCGCAGAAAAAAGAATCTTTAATTTCTCTATGAATAACTGACAGTTAATATTGCTGCATTTCAGGTGTTCCATATCTGTCAGGCAGGAGGCAGAATCGACTCGTTCCTTTGTCCCAATGGCACAGTGTTTAATCAGCAATACTTCGTGTGCGATTGGTGGTACAACTTTGACTGTTCGACGGCTGAACAGTTCTACAGTTTGAATGCTGAGATTGGCAAAGTGAATGGAAATGGATACACGAATGGCAATGGCTATACCAATGGCTATACCAATGGTAATGGGAATGGAGTTACTAATGGTAACGGAAATGGCTACAGCAACGGCAATGGGAATGGAGTTATCAGTGGCAATGGTAATGGTAACGGAAATGGCTACACCAACGGTAACGGAAATGGAGTTGTCAATGGCAAGGGTAATGGTAACGGAAATGGCTACACCAACGGTAACGGAAATGGCTACACCAACGGTAACGGAAATGGATACACCAACGTCAACGGAAATGGAGTTATCAATGGCAATGGTAATGGTAACGGAAATGGCTACATCAACGGCAACGGAAATGGCTACATCAACGGCAACGGAAATGGCTACATCAACGGCAACGGAAATGGCTACACCAACGGTAACGGAAATGGATACACCAACTTCAACGGAAATGGAGTTATCAATGGCAATGGTAATGGTAACGGAAATGGCTACACCAACGGCAACGGGAATGGAGTTATCAATGGCAATGGTAATGGTAACGGAAATGGCTACACCAACGGCAACGGGAATGGAGTTATCAATGGCAATGGTAATGGTAACGGAAATGGCTACAGCAACGGCAACGGGAATGGAGTTATCAATGGCAATGGTAATGGTAACGGAAATGGCTACACTAACGGTAACGGAAATGGCTACACCAACGGCAACGGAAATGGCTACACCAACGGCAACGGAAATGGCTACACCAACGGCAACGGAAATGGCTACACCAACGGCAACGGAAATGGCTACACCAACGGCAACGGAAATGGAGTTATCAATGGCAATGGTAATGGTAACGGAAATGGATACACCAATGGCAACGGAAATGGCTACACTAACGGCAACGGAAATGGAGTTATCAATGACAATGGTAACGGAAATGGATACACCAACGGCAATGGGAATGGAGTTATTAATGGTAACGGAAATGGCTACACCAACGGTAACGGAAATAGCTACACCAACGGCAACGGAAATGGATACACCAACGGCAACGGAAATGGATACACCAATGGCAACGGTAATGGAAATGGATACACCAACGGTAATGGTTATACCAATGGTAATGGGAATGGTGTTATCAACGACAACGGGAATGGTTATAGTAACGGCAACGGAAATGGAAATGGCTACACCAATGGTAATGGAAATGGTATTGTCAATGGTAATGGAAATGGATATACGAACGGAAATGGTAATGGGCACAGCAATGGCAATGGTAATGGTGCTACCAACGGAAACGGTAATGGAAACGGCAATGGTAATGGCAATGGATATTATTATAGTGCCCCTAATGGTAACGGTGGAGCGACCAATGGTAATGGCATTAATGGACTCTATCAGACGCCGAGCTTCTAAACGACGACCCCTATTTCCTTTCTTTTTTCTCGCTTTCTATTTTTGGGGGGGCGAATGTAACAAAGAAAACGACTTTTTTAAAAGTGAAGACATAGGTAATTTATTTCATGTCTCAGTGGTAACGACTGTAGTCATTTGCAGGATCATAGGCCATAAAATGTGAAACATTGTTGTTTTTTGTTTTTTACATATCTAAACATATATTAAATTGAATTTGTTGAAATCAACTGGATAGTGTTTGAATTGGTTATGACGACTTTCCCAACTGTTCCGTAGCATTCTAGTTTCTGTATGAGAATGTTTCAGTTTGAGTGGTTGATCAAATTTGTACACGTGCCATAATTTTTTATATGTAATGGCTTTTATGCTTCTCGTATAATATAGACCATGTATATTTTGCATATAAACTTTATTCGTTTGCATTAAGTTGTTTTTTTTTTAGATCACATTTACTGGGGAAAATGGAGGCCATAGAAATAAAATATCTTCCGTGCATCTGCCTATGCATTTACATATATTTCGACACTTCAAATGCAAGAAGTTTATACATTCACACAAACGCACAGACACAGATGCACCCATATACGTATATAGACAGATTTTTATACATATATATATATATATACATATATGATATATATACGTACATGGTACTGAACTACAGATTACCTATGTGTGACTGGTTCATTTAAAGTGATGGCTCTCGAATGCTTAAAATGATCCTGTAATCACAATGAGAAAGAGAGAGAGAAAACACCGGCAGACCAGATAGCTAAACAAAAGCAGCACCCATATACAAAGAGAAAGTGCTAGATATAGCCTGGGGAAAAATCGCTTTCTAGGACATAAATAATTGTTCAAAGATTAAAAAGTAACTGCAGTGTATCATTTGATTAATCTATTTTGCAGTAGACACACAAACTCAATATATCACAGAAAAATGCATGTCTATGATTTCATTTAACCATCAATTTTGAAACGCATGAAGAGAGAGAGAGAGTTGAACTCCGTCAGGAAATCCGAGAACAAGGCAGAGTCATGAGGCCTCAGCCAAATCGAAGGACGAAGGGAGATTGAAGAGAGAAACTCACTGTCGAAGTACTCCATGGACAGGGTTGGCAGATGTGGAGAGAAAGGAGAACCTAATGCAACACCGAACTTATGGGAGTAGAAGCGACATTCAAAGGGAAAGGAATTAGACTCCCCAAGCAGACGAGTAAGCTGAAGGAAGACGTTGGTGGGTAGAGGGAGACGAGTATCGTCACGGAAGAGCTTCCTCTGATAGAAACCGAGGAAGTCATCAAGCTGGACGTTAGTGGACATCAACATCCAAACTCTTCAAAGTCGCCGACGAGACACCACGGACACCGGTTAAGAAATCCTGAGAATGGCGAAAGGGAACAGGAGAGAAGTTGACAAGAAAGGGAGGGAGACACTGGGCTAGTGCGAACGCAAGAGGGTGCGTGATAGAAACCCGAGGTATGCTGGGGCATGTACACACACATATAGACGTACATATATATGTATATATTCATACATATATACATATATACACACATACATGCATACACACAATGCACACAAACGCACACACATACACACAACACATACACACAACACACACACAAACACACATATTTATACACATACATATACGTATATATATACACACATACATGCATTCATACATATATATGTATATATACACACAAACATTTATATATATATACATATAGATGTACACATATATGTGGAAAGGGAGAGGGCTGGGAAAAATGTATATACACATATATGTATACTTGTATATATGGAATGGGAGACGGGTTTAAAAGAGGAGTAACGGGAGAGAGAGAGGGGTAGGAAGGAAGAGAGAAAGAGTTCAAATTCAAAACACTTTATTCCTTTTGTTACAGAATGTTTGTTACAGAAGTTAGTTTTTAAACAAATATTTTACATAATTATGTACATAAAATACCCATAAATCAAGTGTAGGACATTTAATTCAGCCATGCTTCATCTTATGCTAAGAAGCCTGCTGTCACTGATGATTTAGGAGAGAGAGAAATAGAGAAAGGGGAGGGAGCAAGAGAAAGAGAGAAAGGAGGGAGGAAGAGAGAGAGAGGGGGGGAGAGAGAGATAGAAAGAGAGAGAGAGCGTGGAGGGATGGAAGAGAGAGATAGAAAGAGGAAGGAGGGAGGGAAGAAATAGATAGAGAGAGAGGAAGGAGGTGGAGAAGAGAGGAGGAGGGGGTGGAGGTAAGAGAGAGATGGAGACATACAGAGAGAGGACAAGTCACTTGTGCTCCTATGTTGTTGATACTTGGACTTGCTGTGTGAATTAAGTTGTTAGATACTTTCCTCTAAAATTTGCCCTATACCTGACAGAGCATTCACCAACCAATCATTGTTTACGACGAGCATCGGCCAAACGCCTAACGTGTTGGACCCTTGCTCTGAAAAGTAGTAGGTGATCTGCTGAAAACTATAGGAATTGTCTCCTTAACATTCAGTTTCAAAGCCCATAAGTAAAACCCAACAAGAATTGTACATGGTATCATGCACGTACGAAACAGCTTTATTTTCAAGATGGCTGCCCATATCAAAGTGTATTTACGAGAGATGGATTATGAAACTAATGTTTATTTTCTTTTGTATTTACGGTTCCCTGTTTCATTAACTATCCTCGTCAATGCCAATAAATATCCGAAAAGCAACTATTAACGCAAACAACGTGGAAAACGTTAGATAAAACGAAGGAAGAATACTACTAAATAAAAACACAGAAGCTGAAAATAGCCGAACAGAACAGTTACTATCTGAGTATGAGATGATTAGCATCGTACTTCGTACTTAATAAATGGGGAGAAATTCTTGAAATTCACTTATTATATATTACATGTCTCCCAACGTGTCACATCGAATAAGATGTTATACCTTCCATACGAAATGTGTGTATATATACACATTTATATGTGTACATATACATAAACATATATAGATCGATAAATTGATAAATATACAGTATATATAGAAATACGTATAATATATACATATATGTATACATATACATGCATACATATATATATATATATATATATACATACATATATAAGCATATATTCATATATATACTTATACATTAGTATATATTCATATATACATATATATTCCTATACACACACATATATGTCTGTGTGAGTGTGCGTGAATATGTGCATATATACGTTCGTATATATATTTATATACATACACACACAAATGCATAGATGGACAGACAGACATATAGAGAGATACAGAAATACATGTCTAGGTGAGTATACGCATTTA